GAGACATCGTGCGAGCCGTAATTGCATTTTCAGTCCCAGAGCGGACTCCTAACAAAAGAACCTCCAGTGCTCTTAGGATGGTCGAATTTAACACGGCATGATTCCAATTAACTGCAACCTTAGGGGTGGATCGGTTGATGTACCAGAGTGGTGGGGTTGTCTAGTTTGATTTAAAGCATTTCCATATTCGCCTAGGAATACCAGATGGGAAACTAGTAATTTCTAGTGAATCGTTTGAGGTTTTTACCGTTGTTGACGCAACAAAAAATACATCTTCATCAAAGTTACGTGAAGGGTAATAGAATAATGAAATGATGGTGTAGATGACTTTTCTGGTGGCTTAGTACGGTTTTAGTAGTATCCACTAGTAGAATGTGCCCCGTTGCCGGAAAATGCAGCAACATACAACAGGTAGAGAGGATAGAAACAGTGTACTCCATCGAAACGCGTGTATTTTCTTATTTCGTAGTATACGACTATGCTGTCGAAATCAAACTCGTGTACACATTTTGACTTTTTGGTCAAACGACATCTGGTTTAACTATTTCAAATATCTTCTAAGACCCGTTTTTAAATAAAATGCCTTTTAGAATAAAGGCCACAAATATACATTTACATTTTATCACGCCTCATCCTGACACGAATGGATGAAAAGTTCTGTCCCCGAAAGTTCTCCCAATGAGTTTCCGGACTGTTAGATTAAAGGTGAGAGTGTGGAAGCCTCGGCGTTCCGACTCCGTGGAAGGAATTAATAGGAACCAGCGCGCACGCACGCCCGCTTGAACAGCGTGTAATTAAATTCATGAAAGGAACTTCGCTCAATATGCTCGACAAGCTGGCGGACATGCGTTTAATTGAGAGCACTCCTACATTGTCAATACTTGCAGCTTAGTGGGGATTAGGGTAATCTGGGGATTATTACTATGGTAATCCCGGAGTCGTGGTTTCTTGAGATATTTCTGGAGAAGCAATGCTCCGTTTTGAAATATCAGTCATATGCATCTTTGAAAATATATATGTCCAGTATGCAGAGAAAATGTCACGAATTATAATAATCGACATACATTTCATTACTTTCACAAAAATGGTATTGGGATCTCTTTTAAACGTTTATGTGGAATACTAGGTACGATAAATTTGAAAATTCATATAACCACTGTGACAATAACAGTTTGGCGTCGAGTGAACTTTGTCATCCTGAAAATTAAACTTGCAGAGCGAGACATAGTTCAAAACCACCATAAAAAATTGCAATTTGATCTATTGTGTCCCAGCGCTGCTATATACGTGTGTACGTCCCTAAAGAGTGTGGGCTTATTGCTTTATGTATATTTTATATCGCAACACCGAGCTAGATCGAAATTTTGGTACACCGTTCTGACATAGGTCGCGTGTTGTGTTAGTCCGACGGCCAAGACAGATTTAACCTAACACAAAGAAAATAAAGGCCCGACGTCTACACCTCAGACTTGAATTTGTGAAGCGACGTACGCTTGTCCTGTTTCATTTCCGTGTTAAATGTCACAACGAAAAGACAGACTGTTCAACCGCATCCAACAGACAGTTTGGCATTTGTAACGTTGTCCCTATCTTCAACCCTATCTCCGCAACGGCTTCCCCTATATGTCATCTGGAAATGTCAAACGGCAAATTTGTTTCGCAATTATCAGAGCATTTGTTTCAAAATGTTTCAGCTCAACCAAGGACGTAGAGTGTTTACCAATATTTGGGATAAACGTGGAGCGAGAATTACGTTTGGTTTACATTGGGATTAAAAAATAAGATATCTCTGAAACGCACAACGCTTGAGCTAGAACACGGTTTGAATACAAGCTCCGATGTGTATAGGCGGAGCTGGAACGTGTTTATACAGTTCATAAAGACCCACTAATGGGGGAAAGGGGCGCGCAGCTGTTGTGTATTCTGGAGTTGTAATTCAATCCGAACTGTCCTCCCGATGGGCTTGACTTGTTTGAACTCTCTCTTTTAAGTTGGCATTTTGAAAAGAGGCCAGTACCTTTTCATACAGCTGAGCCCGTGTCAAATGCTGTGGTTTTCCGTCGACTCGCATAAATCAACAGTCTCCCCAAAGCAACATTACGGCCAGAAAACAAAAGGACATGACGCAGACTCAGCTTACTCGAATAACCAAAAAATTCGCCGCCAGTAATATCAAAGACGCGTTGGTGAAAATAAAATTTCTTCTTTGCTTATTCACAAAGTGTTATTTGATAACCAAACCTGCGGCAGGGTAGCCGTCATTTGTTGAAAAGGGATCATGTTATTCCATAGAATTACAGAGTATGTTTTTATTCATGACGCTTCTTGGGTCAGCCTAAAACGTTTTTAACTCGTCGTATTCCTACTGGTACAGGTACACTTCAGAGCAATTCTGTCGTAATTAAACGCATACAAAAAACAATTTCTACTTACAATTCACACTTGTCAGTAAGATGATGGCTTCGAAAAAAACTCGGGCACGGGCTGTCCAGGGAAACGGCATTTCGCTCGCTGTTTGTGAGGATTTTCCCGTCAGAAATCGTGACGTCTGTCCGCGCTCTGCCCCGCCTTGAAAGCTTTCCGACTTTTCCTCTAGTCTCACACATCTGCCGCAACAAACGCTGAAGAAAGCGGTTGTTAGAGTTCAATTTTCCGGACTATTGCCAAGTTTCGTTTGGAAAGAAACCAGGAGAGTTGAGTCTTTGTTTTCCGTCCAGAGGAACGCGGCATCTACTGGGCCTTCTGTAGTCCCCGGTGCAGGCCAGCCTTCACTCCGACTCGGGCTAGCCGCACTCTGCTGTACGGGAACGTCCGTTTGTCATCACGGGGTGGGGTGTATGGCATGGCCGCGTATCTCTGGGTCAATGACTCTATAGTTAGTATTCAAGGCCAGGCTGATCAAAATATGGAAATTTTCCGGCTAACAGCTTGCTGTTGGTTGAAATCCTCTCTTGACTTGACTCATCAAGATCAACTTCGACCACTTCATTGAACGTAATACTTACAATTTTTTTTTGCAGCTTCAACACATCCATGCCCAATCAAAATGGATTGGTCCAGCTGTGAAAGTGAACTCTTGTTCAAACCGGACTGTATCATTATGTGTAACAATAGAGGGACGGGGTGGAGCTTTGTACAAATGACTTACCCCGAACCGTTTCACACATGGACAGGTGTTTGCAGCAATGGTGGCCCTGAAAAAAATAAACTGATGAAGTAAAACGCGATCAGTCACCCAAATCGACATGTCGGGCTTTGCCAGTAAAAGCATCCCTCGATTTCTTGCTGTTATTGAATTTTCTGCCATTTCATATCTTCCAATAGAAGTATGACTACGTGATAACATGCTCCCTATACTATTATTGGTTTTTCCCTGCAGTAGATTATCTTATGGTGCTAAATCATCCCTCCCAGTCAGCCCAGACCCAAAAATATGTTTTCTTCTTAACAAGACTGTCGTTTTCTCACTGAAGAAACGTTAGTTTCCAACATTCAATCATCGAGGGAACGCATATACCGGGATGGTCTCAAAACCGCATGTGTTCCACAGTAAGTATGTGGTTCGCTGTCGTACCAATACATGTACTGTAACCTTATAACGTACAAACAAAACTTTTAAACATCAATATCAATATATTGCTAACCTTTGATAACACATTGAATGGACTTCCTGCCAGGAGCGTCCTTTACTTATATATTGTTTTTTCTTGTGTGAGACTTCTATAAGAGTATATCTTTCACCCACAGCTTGAATCTTACCCCATTTTTCGAAATGGTTTAAGGATATGATCACCATCCATATGAGACGGAAAGAGGCCATGCTTCATATCGTAACAAAAGTCGTTATCGCAGATTGTGCAGCCTTAGGGATGATCTGTGTTTAAAGCAGGTGGGGCGAAGATAATCTATCAGTAGCTTTACCGGAAAACAGACTTATTCCTTAATGTAGATTACATGAGAATGAAAGGTTTCTCTTTAGAAAGGAATGAATGTGTTTTAAATAGCATATACTCTCTCTAGGTATGAATTATTACTCTTTATCCTCTTGCCACGAAGAATTTATCCTGCTCTATGTTTAACCCAAGGCAGCAATCTGCCAACAAGACAGCCTTAATGCAAATATGGGGCTCCTCAATGGTTCAAATATTCAATAAGATAAGACTTAAGCAGGCAAACCTTCCTGGGCGGACAAAGTTTTAATTCCCTGTAAACCTCTTATCTCAGAGACTCACTGATACTTAGCGTGACCGGATGGCGTCGCGCAAGAATCGTTAAAGCTCTTACTAATAAGTGTTGAACGCCTTTCCTTCGTTTGAAAAGATGAGGATGAACGGCCTTGATTCTATTATTGGTGGTGGTGTCGGATTTATTTCATGCCTATAATGAGGAAGTGTCAATCCGTGTTCATTACCCAGTTCTAACCCTCAGGATCTCACGGATATGCCGGTAAGCCAGCACTCTGATTAGGGACCGTGCAGTAAGGATTGCAAGAAGCGCATGGTAAAATTTCATTCGGAAGTTTCCTTAGTAATTATTTGTTTAAGAAAGCTGAACGTCAAATTTGCGTGAGGTGTTCTCCTTGAAAAAAAAAACAATTGATTACGCTTACATACTTATAGTGCACAGGCAAACACACACGCGCACACAGACACAGACACAGTGTACTCATGTCCTCATTTTGTTGTGTTATCTCCCCTGTCCTTGGTGCTGAACGTGCATTCCATTCCATGCTTTAGAATTGGAGCGGGAATTGAAGTTAACAGCTGCGGAGTATTCTAACACCACTCGTGGAAGTTGCTCCCGATAGCTTGGTGTAAACGTTTAGGAAAGTAGGAAACTTTTCGCGGTCTGTTTCGCCTCGCAGTTTTGTTTGTTTTGTGGGCGTACACGTTTGAATTTGGCGGGGGGACAGCAGGTGACCTTTCCCTTCTGACCCCAGCAGGTCACGTCCTGTCCTGTCCCGCTAGTGATCGGTCGGGTCGTGCAAACAAGACCGGCGGCCGGGAACAAAGTACGAAGGGCAAAGTCACAAACTAGAGTCTCCTTACAGTGCTGTGTAAAACTGGACTAGAGGGGAACTAACAGATCGTGTCTGAAGAATATCGTGCTCGGTAAAACACGCGGAAACTCTTCGTGTTATAGGAAACCGGAAGTGTGTTCAACTTGGTGACCTAGATTTTCACAAGGTAAAAACTGGAGTGGTTTAATTTGGAAAGCCCTGCTTGATTCAGTGAGTTGTGGTGGGGGAATGTTATGAAGAAATAGTAAGTATTGCTTTAGACTTGTGTGTTTGTCAGTCTGTCTGTGTGTGCATGTGTATGTGTAGCTGTATGTCGGTACGAAGTTAAGTCTCCGTTTGCAAGATTGTCTTCTTAACAAATATCTGTGTAACCAAGGAGGCTCAAAGTTGTCATTTTAACTTCCTTGGTGTAATAATAACATTTTTATATCAGTCTATACTTTCCTATCAATCATTTGTCCTGTTTACAATATTTCGCTTTTCGTCCATTTTTGCCATACATGTACATGTCCCTATAAAACAACTGATTTCCAAACAGTCTCTGGAGACAAGACATACCTGTTATAATAGTTGTGCAGTAATAATTGATTGACTGTACTTCATTAGTGTACATGTGTATATTGTTCCTGAAAGCTGAATGGATACAGGCAGCCAACATAGACTCCCCTTGCCCCACAGAATCTGCTTGGTAATCTGCATCCCAGACAGACAACATGGGGTCCAGACTGGGCATCAGGGCAGGGACAGGACCATACAACGTGGGCGTCACAGACATCATGACTGCTGGGCCAGACAAACATGTACATATACAAAACATGTCTACAGAAAAATATTGCCATGAAGAGAGATTATCTCACAGATGAAACAAAATATGTAGTATACAAAGCATTTTGCTGTTGTAGTGCAATCTCTAGTATAGAGTTTCATCTATTCTACAGGGGAACAAAAGTGGTGAACAACTAACCAAGCAACAAATAAAGAAAAGGTTGTCACATTGGCTAGCTTCTGAATCATTTGGAAGTGTTTGACTCCATTCATAAGTTTGTGTTTAAAAGCGGTGCTGAAGATATTAATAGGTAATCAAATCCACACTCTTGTAACACACTTAGTGAGATGACCATGTGATCTTTCCTTGATTATAGGGTGTGTTTCTAAGGCTATTCTATCCGACTGAACCATGTGACATCAGACAGAGGAGACATGACTGTCCAACATGGACGCCCAGCCGTCAGTATTTAGATGGCTACCTCAGGTTCATCGCTGTTCCAAAATGGACATATCCCTTGTGCAGGTTGATAATGGGTAGGTAGCTACATTATATCTACAAGAATTCAGAGTGTCACATTGGGTAAAATAAATAAAAAGATTACACCACGATTATCATCAGAAAAAAGTAGCAGTCTGCCAAAGAAATGTCCAGAAAAAAATTTGAGCTTTACACATGAACCCTACTGTTTGTTTCCTTATATCCTGACATTAAAAAATATATTACATGGTTTTATGGTTGTATATTATATGTTTGAATTTTTAGGCAACTTAAGCATGAAGCAAAATCTGACAAATCCTTTAAGACTTTTTCATTGTCATTTCTGTTGATGTGAAGGACTCTTCATTGTATTTTCCTCCCTCTAGGTAACCCCAAGGTCCCAGCCATCCTGAATGCTCCACTGTTAAAGCAGGAAAGTCCGTCCAAGTTCCCGGTGATAGTTTTCTCGCATGGTATGGGTGGACAGAGGACAACCTACACTGTTGTATGTTTAGAGATGGCATCCAGGGGGTATCTAGTCGCTTCTATTGAGCATAGGTGAGTGTGTGTCTTTACAATCTGCTATATTTATGATTTAGAACAACTTTTGAACAATTGAAAATATCTCAGAGACTTAGCAAGATACAAACAACAATGGATTGAACTGTACAGAGACATACACTGATTTGGTCTGTCAATTGTAGTTTAGAGTTAATCAGATCTACTGCTAATTTACAGCCAAGAACAGCTATTATTATTTTGAACAATTAAGAGATTATTTAATGAATAGACAACATCAGCACCTGGTTGACCTGGTAGTTAGTGCTTTATTGAGTTATCGAGGTTTGACTGTGGATGCCCAGCTAATACTCTACCAGTAGTGTGACACTACGTGTAGATAGTTCCTGGGATATGTATAATAATATGTGATATATCTCTGTTCACTGAGCCCCTACATTTGTATTTCTACAGGGATGGCTCGGCCTCTGCAACACATGTCATCAGGCAAGAGGATGATGGGAAAACTCCAACAGTAGAGTGGGTCCCAATGATACCTAAACCTGAGGGGGATGAATTTCCAGTAAGGAACAAACAGGTAAGGGGTTATCTCAAACTTTTGTGTTGTTTCAAAATAAAATTGCTTTTAGTTCAGCCGACACTTCGAAGTCTGCCATGTAAATGAAGTGGTGGTGAATCATGAAATCCTCAAATGTCTTGTAGAATCCACATCACATGTATGATGTATGCATAGTCTCATCATCAAGAGGTTAATTAATGAATGGGTGATGGATTTCAGTTTTACAAAACCAAAGGAATCTACCTGTCTTCTACCTTTCTCTGGGTAATATTATTGACAATTGGGACTGCATATTTTCTGCTACAGTACCACCTGTCAATAGTACTGTAAGGATGGTAGGGAAAAAACTACTGAAATGTTGGGCTGGGGCAGTAACATTTACATCTGCTTGTACCACAGGTCCACCAGCGTGCAGATGAGATGGGTCACATGTTGGACCTTCTTGTCTCCATTGACCAAGGCTCTAACATCAACAACCTGTGCAACACAGGCATGGACCTCTCTCAGTTCAAGGTTAGGGACAGTCATGTCTTCAAATCATTTATTCTTGCCTTCAGGATCCTCATGTTTGATGTAGTTTGATCCAGTGTTAGGTTGTAGAAGATGTTCAACAGCATTGTCTTCACCAATCAGAATGTGTTATTTAGGTATGTACCATTTCACAAAGAGTGATACACTTCTGATATTTCTTCCAGGGTAAGCTAGACTTGGACAGAGTTGCAGCAATGGGTCACTCCTTTGGTGGTGCCACTTCCCTTGTTTCTCTCTACAAAGACACCAGGTTAAAGTAAGTCATACACTGTGGCTGTTAATGCCACAACAAAAAGTTTGTATTGCTGCATACAGGTAGAACTAGAATGTAATTGTGCAACAATTTTGTTTGGGTGCCTCCAAGTCTGGCATGTAACAGTACAAGTTTTAAGCATTTTGGTATTTTAGATTTGTTTTTGTTCAGTACCTTACTACACAAAACCCCTATATTGTTCACTCTGTGAGGATCTAAAGCTAAAGACGGTCACTAGAAATGGAAGCAAAGTACATCCCAATTTGTCAAAATGATGATCATGAATCATGATGATGACACTGGTCAAGAGAATTATATGCTATGTCGAGTTGTGATGATGATTTTATATCTTGTTCCACAGATGTGCAGTGATACTGGATGGTTGGATGTTGCCTGTAGACAGAGAGATGTACCCACAGATCAGCCAGCCAGTCCTCTTCATCAACACGGAGGTCTTCCATTGGCCAGGGAACATCGTACGCATGAACAGACTCATGGGAAGGGATGGGGTTGACCGCAAGATGATCACCATCAAGTAGGTGAATTCTTGGGTTATATTGAATATTTGTTTTTTGTTGTAACTTTGTTTAGACTGTTCAGAATATAGCTCAGAGTGAAAGTTAATATGTAATAGTTGAATTCATGTTTAATTTGTGGACTCAAAAATAAATAAAAAATTTCATTGTATAATAGCAGGTCAGTGCAAACTCAAACAGTCAGAATACTTAAAACACATTTGAGAATTAGCAGTAAATAATGAACAATACATTTGTATTATAGAGGAAAACATATGTCAGTATTCTGTACAATGTTTTCCTTGACAGGGGGACTGTTCACCAGAGCCAGTCAGACTTCACATTCCTGTTTGGCAAGTTCTTTGGTACCAGAGTCCAGAGTAGAGGTGCACTAGACCCACATGTGGCCATAGATATCAACAATGAAGCTTCCCTGGCTTTTCTGGCTAAACATCTGGGTAAGTGATCTGACTGTCACTTGTTCTGCAAACCTAGTTAATTGAAATCTTGAGAGTCATAATTTTTTTTCTTAAGTTGAAGGGTAGACCCATGGACCTTATGATGATTTATAAAAGGAAGGGAAGTTGGTATCAAAACTTCTTTTTACATATTTGGAAATATATTATCCACATGATTATCTGTGATTCAATAAATAACATTGCAAATATCATAAAATGCTTTAAATGACGAGTATTCTTTCAATTATACTGGATATGTGAAAATATTGTTGCATCCACCTAGACACATCTAGATTGTAGTCAATGAACAGAAAGAAAGATTGACTGCTATTTATTGTATAAACTGGTATAATCTTGTTTTTCTCTCATCGTATCAGATTTACCAGGAAATGACTACAACAGTGCACTATTGGAGGGGGAGGGGGAACATCTCATAAAGGGAACAAATGTCAAACTGGACCCCAGGCCAGCCAAGGAGGAACAGGTGGACACAAGTGTGGAGAAGCCGACTCCAGATGAGGCCAAGTTGTAGAGTAGAGTAGAGTAGAGTAGAGAAGATGTCTGCGGCCAGGTAGGGGCTTAAGTTCCAGTTTATGCCGCTCTGTCCTTTCAGTGCACTGGCATCTCAGGCTTCTGGGATGATCGAAAGCTCTCTAGTCGTACATCAATTTGTTCTCTTTCATGTGTGAGTCCAGCCTTTCCTTAAGTTAAAAGCATTCAACTAGGTGACGTCACCACAGACTCTGAAAGGTTATTACCTTCGAGAAGGTTATGTTTTCAGAGGCGTTCGTGTGCGTTTGTATCTGTAGACACAATAACTTTAGAAAGCTTAAATGGATTGTCTTGATACTTGGTAGGTTGGTAGGTCTTGATGAGACCTGGACATGATTAGATTTTGGACCCTCTAGCAGCTTGTTATGGTACTGCAGCTGAACTTCCGGTCTTGATACCTCATGATCTAGACATGCTAGGGTGACAAAATTAGGATGGTATGTAGATCTTGTGCTGAGGAAGAAGTGCTTTGAGTTTGAGCCCCCTACCAGCTTGATGTGGAACTGCAGGGCTATCTGTTTCGAATTATTCAAAAGAGGATAACTCAACAACTGGTTGACAGATCGTCGTGATTTTTGGTATGTAGGTAGCTTACGCGATGCTTGATATAATTATGTGACAATTATGCACATATGGATGTAATTTGCATAATTTATGAGGAAATTATATAAATCAGCTGCATTCCATGATAGGACTATTGAAGCTTGTGACATTGGTAATTGTAAGTGTGTCACAAATATCCGGTAGTCACAAATATGACCCATTGCCAGCACGTACTATACACTACCAAAATAGTCCTCTACAGTATATTGAAAATTAATTAAATCTTTTAAATATGTATTGTATCTTTTAAATATATATAGCTTCTTTTAAATTTGTATTGCATCTTTTAAATATGTATTGTCACCTGCCCACGGTTTGCAAACTTTTAGACCGATTGTATATGTCAACTTGTGGAAATTTGTATATGTACATGTGAACTAACAATTCAGCTCATGAGCTGTGATGAGTTTGTATCGAATAATAAAGTTTACATCAAAATGTGATTTTGCGATCAGCAGATCGCATGCAGAAGTGGTCACAGTCTTTGCAGATGTGAATTTTCCATGTCAATGTCATTACCATATGAATGGAAACCAAGCAGATGCATGGTGGAAGGTAAAATCGTAACATCTTGGGGATTGCCATAGTTATACGCCTGGCAGAGACTCTGTTTCCATTGATATGATACTGAGAATGACACCGAAAATTCACAAATTGATTTCCTTCGTACATTCTTCGTCAGTGTGATAATATTCAGTTTGTCGTCATGAAGAAAAGACCAGATTCAAACTGAAGCTATCCCTGTCCTTGGTGCTGAAAGCCATCCCCACATAATGCCCCCCCCCCCTGTTCGTAGTAATATTACGCCGTTGCCGAGCGTTTTTACCTCTCATAACCTCATAAATCGGCTCCTTTTCTCTGTAAAGGCAGTTCTTACAACTCTGTAGCTTATCTGGAGGAACATAATTGCCCACAATAGTCCCGTTCGTCCGAAAATCCTTGGTAACTTCAGTTGTTTACGTAAAGGGCTTTATGGTTTCGAGTCGGTTGCCCATATTTGGTCGTAAAGTGACACGTCATCGTTATTTGTAACCAATCACCAACGAGGAATTGTATTAGCCAATCAGGCTCAATGACTCAAAAACGTTGCCGTGATGATAACCAATCAGCATCAAGGATACATAGGCTAATGACCCTCTGCGCCATGTATCTAAAGCGACTTCTAGCAGTCGGTAAAATTATTGCATGTAAAAAAATCCCACAAGTACCTGCAATAATTCCATGAACTACTAGAGGCCCTCATTGACACGTGCGATGAATTGGCATTATGGCGCCTGTGGATGCATCACAGCATCCAATTAACTAAAACGTGAGGGAGTAAACTTTGTAAAGGAGGGTGCACGTTCGCCAGGGATGGAAAGATTCTTCTGGACACCTCAGGTATGAATTATTACACTTCTAAAAGGTTTGGTGGAAAAACTGGAACGAAAAGTTTATGCGTTTTATTGATGTTTGTTTCATTTTTCGTTACTGAACATATTTTCCTTGATTTTCTTCTTGTTATCAGTTCTAAGCGTCCAGAAAACACCTAGACGTGAATAAGGACCATATAGAAAATATTGGAACAACTAGTTCTATAATCGTTCGCGTTATTTTTACTTTAAACGCTAAGATTTACACCCAATCCTGCCTACATTTAACCATGCATACATGACACGTAGTATCTACATATTCGCCTGGAGGATTACGTAACTACCTCGCATGACGTATGCGGCACCTGGACTGTATATTTTTAGCCTCGTTATCAAACGATATCCGTTGATTTGATTGGCCCGCCTTTTAATCGAATTAATGCTCCGCTAAGAACTGTCAAATGGCCATTTTATTGCATAACTTTTAACGCCCAAAGCGCCCTTCTAGTCACAAATTGCGGACGTTTCGGTTATCGGCTATACTTTGTGATCTTACCGTTGATACTATGTTATCGCAATCAAAACATAAATGGGTCAAAGAAAGATCGTTTATTGCAAAATTACTAACGTGTGTTTTCCTAAATCTATAAAGTTGAATGATGAGGATAGAAAAATTGAAGAAGTCGAATTTGTAAGATGAAAGTCATTTTAATTAAATCATTGTATTTTTAGGCCTGTATGTGTGATTATTGCCTATTGGCTTGTCGTAAATCTAATCTTAAACTTGATTATCGAATGCAAATTTTGCTTATGATTTACAGGTGGCATGACACGTGCGTGAAACAAAATGGCGAGTGTACATGGACGGGAAGAACGAGTGGGTATAACAATTACGCCCAGGAAGACGCGCCATGCCCGCTTTGGTGGTAAGTTGTACTTTAAATTGTCGTAGATACTCTTCGGACTATTATAGATAAATCTCCTTTGAATTGAATGAAGCAACAAGACAGAATTTCGATAATAAGTTTCGGCAATTATCCCCACGTGTTAAGTAACCGATGGAGGTGCATTTACGTGGTCGATAAAAAAAAAGCACTTTCAGTTATTCAACTGTTTATTCAATTCTTTTTCACCGTAACCACCAATTATTTGAACACGGGTCAATCAAATTTTATCCAATGAGGGTGAAATTAATGATCCTGAAATAGGAAAACGACACCAATCTTAACAGGTGCACTTTGTAAGTAATCCGCTGAGGGGCGCCTTTATGTGGGCCCCTGACCTGAGCAGCTTTGCTTGATTGCAACGTGGTTTGTTGTTGTCCTGTGTGTTTTGGTCAAATTCTATGCGTTTCAGTCTTAAAAAAATGTGTTCCGAGGCCGATAGCGTATAGAGGGGACATGATAGTACCGTTTGTGTAGAGGATGACATGGATAAGGTGATAGATTTGTAAGGAGGGGAGACAGACGACCGCCCCCCTCCCCACAGTTCGAGTGGGGAGGGGGTGGTAACAGAGTTGTTTTATGTATCAAAGACCGTATCCAGGATAATTATATACGTTACATAGTGCCCAGGAAGGTAAATTTGCAGGTAGAAAAGACACCAAGGATCTTTAAGGACTGTAAGAGAGGCGGTGTTTTGGTCTAGAACACAGGTCATGATTTTTCTAATGAATGTTTATCAGTTGTTGAGCGGTAAATCCGGCCATATGCCAAACAGACTTTCCAACTTGACTTTGGTAAAATCTGAGATTGAAATTTTTATATTTGTCGTGTACACCTTAGACAAACTGACCTTACCTTAGACCTTAGATCTGGTGACAGACCAAAAATCCTTGGTATGGTACCTTAGTTATGTAAATACATGTTGTTTTTTGGGAACACAACTGAGATTATACTTTTATTTGTGCCTTGTCAACTTTCGACAAATTGATGACAGAACCAACAATACTTGAATATGGTCATTTGTATGCCTTCTTGCTGTTACTGAAGCTCCTATGTACTTGTAATATGTTGTTCCAGATTCTGAATTGAAATACATCAAGGAGCTCCAAACCAAGAGAAATGTTTTCAGAGGTATTGTAGTTATGTAGTTTTTTTTTTTTTAACACAAATTGACAACTTGGGAAGAACAAAATTATGGCAGTTTTGTTGTGGTCCTGGGTTTGAATCACAGTAGGTCTGTATACATGAAGGGGCATCTCGAAGTCCTTTGATGACTATATCAATGAGCAGCAGGATGACTCTTCTTTTATCAATCATTAAAAACTTGAAGTTGAAATCTTATTATATGTTGAAATAATTGCATGTGTGCAATGATTGTTAAAAATGAAATCATGACACACATTTGCATGTGATGATGGTTTATTTGATACATTAATACATTTTTGACATGACATGTTTTTCTCCATATCTTTTATTACCTTACTAGTATTTAGAAATAGTATGAAGTACTTGACATGTGTTAGAAATGTGTAATTTGCTGTAAAACATTTTGAATTCTCTATCTATCATGTACATGTACATTGTACTTATTTGGATTGTGATGTATCTTATGTGATATCAAGAAGTGTGATTGTTGTTTGGTCATGATATTCTACATGTCTGTTCACTGTTGGCTGTTCTCTTCTTTTGCCTGACATTAACAATGTTCCATGTGTTCTTTTCCCAACCAATGCAGCTTTTAGAACAAGTGTATTGTGATATCTTATGTACATGTGATATCATGTGTGAGAGGTATTTTCTTGTGATAGAATATTCTATGTTCACTTTTGGCTGTGCTCTTCCCCCAATCAAAACTGGTTTTGTACGAAATGTTGTGAATATTATGATGTCATGCATGATGTGTGAATATTGTAAATATTGGTGTATGTAAATGGCATGAGATTTTTCTGAATGTTTATTTCTTTTTACCCTAGCTTATGGGAAGCTGAGACTGTACCTTACCATGTTCCTGTGTGTGCTGTGGGACCTGTCTGTGTTCCTGTCCAAATTCCAGCTGGAGGATCTGTTGGCTATCCTGTGTACCTGTCCTATTCCTGAGTGTGTTCCTGAAGGACCTGTCACGTATCTATGAGACAAGAGAACATTGGACTTTGACCGTGAGTTGGCTTTTAGGTCTCGGACCGGAGTTTCCCTCCGTATTTCGAGCAATTTGACACCCTCAGCCCGACGGGCTGTCATTTCT